CTTTGTAAGCTATGTCGTTGGACAAATTACTTATCTAGGCTTTTGTTTCACCATCTACATAAATGAAACTAACTCATGGTGATGTGGACTAAGTAAAAGGTTGTAGGTACAAAGCTCTTCCTGGTGCTGGCAGTGGGGTGTGCTCAATAATTTCTAGCCAATGCTATTATTGTTATTCTCAGCATTCTCAAAGCACTTTCATATATGCTGTGTCACCTGATCTTTTTTAAAAAGGGCTGTACATATTTTAATTAATTTAATCTTCTCTATAGCTTTATGAAGAACACACTCTTTTTGACCTCATTTAACAGTTAGCCATATAACTAATAAGTGGTAGAAGTAAGATTTAAAGCAGAGTCTGGTTTCAGAGAAAACTCTCTTGATCACTGTATAGAAATATTATTTCAACCAGAGTGTAGGCTCTTCTGGTCTTACCCTTCCTATGAGAGAGGGTTTATTGTCTCCATTTTATAAATGAAAGCAGTGAGAGTCAGAGCAATTGACTGAGCTGACAAGCCGTAGGATTACTGAACAGGTGAATTCACATCCCTTTGCTCCAGCAGCAGTGCCTGAGAGTGGCAGAGCACACAGCACAGTATCATAGGCAACAGCAGCAACAGCAGCAGTACCTGCAGCACGTACAGTGACACGTTTCCTACGCACTTGCTCTCATTTAATACTCACAACAATTATGGGCTCTGGATTCTATCATCAACTCCATTTCAGATGAGGGGACCGAAGTTCAGCCAGATCAAGGAAGGTGTTCAGGGGCATAGAGCTAGGGAGTAATAGAGTTGGGTGTCCCCTGGTCTACCATGCCCAAGCTGTGCCTCAGCTTATGTGCTGCCATCTCCTACAGCACTTAAGCAGAACCCCTAAGAACAATGGGCAGCACCTCCTTGATTATCAATGCAGCCAGCAGAAGGGGACAACCTATTTTTCATAGATTTTGGGGGATTTTTTATGTAAATAATTATGCTACCTAAAAAAAAAAGACATTTTCATTTCTTATTTTCCAATGAGCATGACTTTTATTCCCTTTTCCTGCCTTATTGCAGTGGCTAGAACTTCTAGTACTGTGTTTAATAAGACTGATGAAAGTAGAAATCTTCGCCTTGTTTTGGATCTTATAGGCAATGTATTCTGTTTTTATCCATTAAATACAATGTCTGATGTAGTTTTTTAAATAGATGTTCTTTGTGAGGTTGAGGAGGTCTCCGTCTGTTCCTAGTGAACTTGAGAGGATTGTCTATTTTCATCAATAATGGGTGTTGAATTTTGTTGAATAATTCTTTGACACCAATCCTTATGATTATATGGCTTTCTTCTTTAGCCTGTTGCTATGATGAATTTTGTTAATTTCTTTTCACATACTGAATTAGCTTTGTCTATCTGGCATACATCCCACTTGGTCATGGTGTTTTAGTTGTTTTATAACATAGTTGGATTTTGATTAATTAAATTTGATTGATTTTTACATCTGAAGTTCATAAGAAATATCAGTCTGTAGTTTTCTTTTTGCATACCTTCTTTAGCTGGCTTGGGTATCAGAGTAATGATGGCAACATAACAAGAATTGGGAAGTGATCTCTTCTCTCCTATTTTCTGAAAGATGTACATAGAATTGGCATTAATTTTAATTTGAATGTTTGGTAAAATTCTTGGATGAAACCATCTGGGCCTGATAATTTCTTTGTTGGGAGCGTTTTTATTCCAAATCTAATTTTTAAAAATATCTACGCAACTATTCAGATTGTCTATTTTATCTTGGCTACGTTTTATTATGTTGTGGTTTTTGAGGTATTAGCCCATTTCTTCAAACTTGTTGAATATCTGAGCATAAAGTTGATTACAGTTTTTAAGTTATCTTTTTAGTAGCTAAAAAAAGCTATTGTGGTAGCTTTTCATTTCTGATGTTAGTGATTCATGTCTTCTCTCTTTTTATATTTCATTTCTGATGTTGGTGATTCATGTCTTCTCTCTTTTTATATTTGCCAATCTTGCTAAAAGTTATTAATCTTATTAAACTTTTTTAAAGAGCCAAATTTCTGTTTCATTTTTTTCTTTTTCCAGTTTTCAAGTTCATTAGTTTTTGCTTTTTTATGTCCTCCCTTCTGCTTCCTTTGAGTTTATTTTGCTCAACTTTTCTGATTTCTTGAAGTAGAAAACTAGATTAGTAATTTGAGATCATTCCTTTTTTCTAATGTAAGCATTTAGTCCTATAAATTTTATTCTCAGCACTCCTTTAGCTAATCTTACAATTTTAGCATGCTGTATTTTCATTTTCATTCTTTTCTTGTCTTTTTAAAATTTCCTTTAGCTTGCCACTTTGACATATGAATTATTTAGAAGTTTGTTGTTTAGTTTCCAAGTTTTTGGAGATTTGCCTATTGACTTTCTGCCTTGATTTCAAGTTTGATTTTATTATGGCCAGATAACATATTCTGTATAATTTCAATTCTCTTTAATTTTTTAATGTTTGTTTTATGACCTACGATATGCTCTATCTTGGTAAATGTCTCATGGGCCCTTTAAAAAAAAAAAAGCGTATTCTGCTGCTGTTGATTTTGATTGTGCTATGAATGTGAATTAGATCCTGTCAGTGGATGGCGTTGTTGAGTTTTTCCACATTCTTGCTGATTTTCTCACTAGTAGTCCTAGGAGTCCTGAGTGTCGGGCGCCAGCAGGGATTGATGCCCCAACCGCAATTGTGGATTTCTTCTTTCCGCTGTCTTAGTTTTTGCTTCAGACATGTGAAAGTCTGTTGTTTGGTTCACAGATATGCAGAAAAAGCTCTCACTAACTGTGTTTTTCTTCTACCGTCACACCACAATCATCAACACAGAAGAAAGGCCCAGTGACTCAAGAGAAACTATCATATTAAAAACTTGGAGCTGTTTTAAATTAACCAGAAAAATCGCAAAAAACAGAGCACCTCACCAAGAGAAGAGCCCTGTGCCTTTATAAAAGAAAAAAAATACTGCCTTCTGTACCCTTTCCCTCACCATAAAGATAATCCTCTGGTTTTCTCTTAAGTAACCAGAGAGTGGATAACCTCCACCAAAAATAAAAAAAAGTCCTATTTTTGTTGAATATCTGTTGTCTTAAAGATACAGCTCAGGAAAAAAAAAAATAGACTGCATTCAACATGGTTTATGTCATTCTTTTTTTGTGCCTTATATGATATGAAGAAAGGCTTCTGTCTTGATGATTGTCCTGGTGTAAAAATAGAAGAAAAAGACAGTTAGAGAGAGTTTTCACTACATACCTGTGAACCATGCAACAGACTTTCCAATGTCTGAAGCAAAAACTAAGATAGCTGAAAGAAGAAATCCACAATTGTGGTTGGGGCATCAATTCCCCTATCTTCCCACATTCAAGACTACTAAAACTACTAGAGAGAAAATCAAAGAGAACATAGCAGCAGATACCAGCTGGGTATCCTCCAACTCAGTTCTGACACTATCTACCCAGAGATAGAGTCAGATCCCATAGGTTGAAGATTCAGTCCTCAAGACTGCCCCCATACACACATCGGTTGGAAGTCTGGGCCTCCAGAACTTCTGACTAGCCAGCTTCAAGTTCAGGTTCCCACGATCCCCTCTCTGGGTTTGATTAATTTGCTGGAGCAGCTCACAGAACTCAGAGAAACCCTTACCTATGTTTACCGGTTTATTATTAAAAAGTATTGCAAAGGAGACAGATGAAGAGATGCCTCGGGTGAGGTATGGGGAAAGGGGCACAGAGCTTCCATGCCCTCCCTGGATGTACCACGCTCCAGGAACCTCCACATGCTCAGCTATCTGGAAGCTTACTGAACTCTGTCCTCTTGGGATTTTAAGGAAGTTTCATGATGTCAGCATTCCTTCCCCCAGGATAAAGGGTGGGACCATCTAGTGGGAAGGTCTTAAGAGCCACAATCAGAAAGGCAGAAAGGTGGGAGAACATTAGAGTGAAAGAGAGGCTGGAGAAAGTCAGAGGCCTGCCCCTGAGGCCTAACACCCCCAACAAAAGACTAACACTGGCTATGGGAGTTGTAAGCCAGGACGCGCAGATGAAAACCAATATATAGCATAATATCACAACAGGATTGCTGTATCTTCTTGGTGAATTAATTCTTTTTGTTATTATGTAATTTCCCTCTTTGCCTGTAGTAAATTTCCTTGCTCTGAAATCTGCTTTGTCTAATGTTAATACAGCCACTTGTGCTTCCTTGTGGTTAGTGTTTCCATGTTATACCTTTTTCCATCAATTTGCTATCAGTCTACCTATAGATCATTGAATCTGAAGTGAGTTCCTTGTAAACAGCACATAGCTGTGTCACATTTTGTAATACACTCTACCAATCTCTGCATTTTAATTAGTGCATTTAGAACATTTACAATTAAGATAATTATTATTAATATTTGTTCTTTGATCTTTCTGTTTATCACTCTTTTGTTTTTTTTCTTGCCTTCCTGTGGCTTACTTGGACATTTTTTAGTGTTTCATTTTGATTTAATTGTGTGTGTATGTTTAGCATATCACATTGTATTGTTTTTAGTGCTTATTATGTTTGGAAACTCTGTAGATGGGCAGCCTTCCATGATGGGGAAGAAGCTGCAGGGTCTGGGTCTCTTTATGCCACTGGATAGAGTCTGGAGACACGCAGGGCTTCACTGTGGCTGATTGGGTGAATCAGGCCATGTGCTGGAGTCTAAGTTGTGGACTGGAGGCCAGGACTGCCCAGTGCTTTGCTGCGGCTACTATTGCTGCTGATGCTGATGCTGGCAGATCAAACCCTCTGCAAAGACCCTGGGTTGTAAAACAGGGGCTAGAGCTCTTACTGGGTCTCTCTTGGGGTTCCCCTTCCCTGAACTTTGACCAAAGAGAACAAGATATTCTTGGGCGTTTTGTTGTTGCTTTGTTGTCATTTTGTGTATATCTGTTGGTGAGTTCAGCACAGCCCCGGGTATCTGGGAGATGAAAAGAAAACTTAAAAAACTTACCATGTTGCTGTTTCTCAAGTCCTGAGGTTTTTTGTGACTACACCTTTTTTTCTTCTAGCGTTCAGAGCTCTTTATCATTGTCTGCTGAATAGTTTCCAAGGTACTTAGTTGTATTTAGAGGAGCAGAGCAGGGAGAAGTGAGTTTAACCATCTTGTTCCAGAACTGGAAGCCAGCAGAACCTGTTTTAAAAATAATGTTTAAAACATATTTTCTTTCCTGGGTGATTTTCCAGAAAGCAGTAAAAGTACTATCAATGGCACTTCCTATAATACAAGCTACACCCTACGCTTTCTTAGAAGGAATCAATTGCATTATTCAAAAGCTATCTTCCTCTGAGCCTGCGCTGCATTTAGTCAACAGGATATTGAATTCCTTTTGAAAACCTAAACAGGTTATCACTTCTTTCCTGAACCAAAAGTTGATTGGTAATGTAAATACTTGTCTGTAACACAGAAAACTGGGTTTTCTTTGAGCTCTTCCTATTCCGTATCTCTTGTCTTGAATGAGAAGATTTTCCTTTGGCACCAAAAGGTTACAACTACATTTATCTACAAATAAACTACCACAGAAGAACTGGAACTTTCCTAATTATCAATGTTTAGCTGCACTAATAAAGCCTTCTTATATCTGTGTTCTACTTGTTTCTTTTCTTGGAGCCTTGCCTGACACAGATAGGATGGGCTTTCAGCCCAGTGACTCACGGGAAGCTACTATATTAAAAACTTGGAGCTAATGTTTTAAATTAACCAGAAAAAAACACAAAAGGCAGAACACTGCACCAAGGGATAGAGCCCTGCTCCTCTATAAAAAGAAAAAAAAATACTGCCTTCTATATACTTTCCCTCACCATAAGGATAATCCTCTGGTTTTCTCTTAAGTAACCAGAGAGTGGACCCTCCCCACAAAAACAAGTTCAATTTGTGAAATGTCTTTTGTCTTAAAGATATAGGTCAGGAAAAAGTAGACTGCACTTAACATGATTTATATCATTCTTTATTCGTGTGCCTCATATGATAGCTCATGACTTGGAAAACGTCTATAAATGTGTAAAATATTAGAATGTATAGCTAAAATTGTGAGTTTACATTATTTTTGGCTTATCTCAGTACAGTGATTAATGTGGTCAAATTGAATATTTATATCTTTAAGATAAAATTGCATATTCCAATGTAAAGTAACATATTTTCAAGTAAATTTTATTTTCCAAAATCTCTTTATTACCACTAACTCTATCTTAAAAAAAAAAAAAAAATTCACAACATATACCATTTTCTGGCTTTATATGAAAAGTTTTTTGTTTGAGTATAGGGTTAAAAAGAAGCCAATAAGTTAACACGTTATATTTGACATGGGAACTGTTCACTCCAAATTTTAAGAAGAGCCAGATAAATCATGCACAGGCAGCCAACCAGTGTGTTAGTAAAATGGCTTTTTAAAAAATTGTTAAAAAATCTGTATAGAGGTACATTTTTTTTTTAATTTGTAAAAGTAGAATCAATTTGAGTCATTTTAATTTACAGCATGAATGGAAGACTCTCAGAGTCATCTATAACCTCAGCAGAAAATGTGATTATAAAAGTTTACAAAAACCCCAATTCCCCAGAGAGCTATGAAACAAGCGGAGTGCAGAGCATGTTCTATCAGTCTCTTGGAATATTATTTGCCCTCTTAACTGATAAGGCAATGGAGGAAGAAAGTAAGAATGTAATAAAAATATGAAAAAGTGACTACCTTTGCCTGCCTTCGCCAAACCTAACTTTAAATAAAATAATAATGAACAAATCAGCTAGCAAAGAAAACAGCTTTTCCTCTAGTTTCTTTTGAAGTGAATTTTCCTTTACTTTTTATTTTTTGGAATCCTACAAATTAAGGCTTCCATGGAAATGAATGAATTTTTTAGAGTTTCAAGACTCAAAAGATAAACAAAGCAGTCTGTTTTTCTTCTCTCACCCACCCCAACCCTGTAAATAACCCCAGGCCACAGCCTGGGTCTCCCTCTGTTTTTTATGTCTATCAGCAGTTTTAGAGCTGGGGAGGCCAGTGGGGGAAGGATGGGGAAGAGGGGGAGGTGGGGGAAGGAGGGAGAAGGAGCAAGTAAGTGGGGCGGGCTCATCTCAGGGTGAACCCCGGCTGTAGCTGGGTTTGGGATGTCACACGCATGCCTGCACACACAAAATGTACACAGTGAAACCAGGCAATAGAACTATTAAAAAAAAAAAAAAAAAGAAGAAGAAGAAGACAGAAAGAGAAAATGTGCTGCTACATCAGCTAAAAACAGTCGTGTTCTTTCCTGGTTTGATGTCAGCTCCCAGTACTGGGTTGGAATTGCCCACAGCGATATTGGGCCCCTGCCCACTCAGCAGGCAGACGGCTTTTGCTGCCAGCAACAGGCTTTTAATAAAACAGGATGCTGTCCCACTACTAAGGCCCAGCCTGAGAATGGATCCCAGTCCAGGTGAACTCTCTCTCCAAGAAACAGCAGTTCTGTATTCCTTATCAGGAAACCCCACTTTGGCGTTCCTGGCCTGGGAGAAAGGCCCCTCTCCCAGGGGCTTGCTCAGCAAGTGTTTGCAGGCGGCTGCTGGCCCTGGAGCTGTCTGCTCTGCAAGGTTCTCACCACGGTGAGCTTGCTCCCGCAGGGACTTCTAATTCTGTGCATGCATTTCAGCTTTGATGAAGGCTCTGTCCAATTTTGACAGTCAAGCAGGATGGGATTTAAAATAAGGAGCTGGCTTCCACAGACAGGATGAGGACATTTCGTCCCCATTTTCCTGCAGCAAGCCCTAATGAGTCACGCCAGGACTGCACTTGAACTGACTTCTCATCTTAAGTGTGAAGAGCTTTATCATTTTGGGGAGGCTCACCTGTCTATTTGTTTTCTTCTCATTTGGAATGAAATGGAGTATGTTCCATTTGGAGCAGCAACTTCTAATTTTTTCCAGCTGCAATTTGACAAAAAGTCCAAACTAAGGAGTGAGATTCCACGGCACCTTCCAAACCCTGGGGCTCCGTGGCCGCAGAGCCCAGGACCGCCTTTTCTGGGTTGTATACCACCCTCTTATCCTAGGGAAGCAGAACTGTGGTTCTGAAAGTTGTTCCAGAGTATTAGCCCCAGCCCCACATGCACCAGCAGGATCCCTTTCATGCCACACTGTCATGTATAGAAGTGGCCAAGAACAGCACTGATATCACATATTGGGAGGCACACATGCCATCAGCAAGTAAACTTAGATGACATCCCATGAGAGTGAATTCCAGTGGAAAAGAGAAGTCGTTGTTGATAGAGAAGGCCGGACAATGTGTATTCTACCCCCAAATCTCCCCTGGCTTCCCGTGTGGACTTAGACAGCTTTGATCTATGTATGACTCAGTTTCCCCATTCTGTAAAGTACAACAAAGGTTGTTGGAGGACTGGCAAATAACCAACTCATATGCTGTCACTCCCCCTTCCCTCATCCACGCAGACATTGGGAATCACTCCCAGCACCTTTCTTCCTGTGCCCAGATGTGACAACTCAGTCAGCCACAACCAAACGATCAGAGACAGCACTGGAGGAAAGGCTTGTGATGGTTTCTAAGGCTTCTTCCAACTCTGATAGTTCCAATCTAAGCCCAGTACATCTCTGACCACTTTGAAGTTCTGGGGAGGAAATTGAAGGAATTGGTGTTACAGGTGGTGTTTTCATTCCTTCTCTCACTTGAAGTTCATGAGTTTGGAAAAGAAAAAGAGAAAGAGGAAGTATATGGAGGGAACATCTGGGCATGTAGATGGTGCCGCGGTGGAGAATTTTGTGTCTTGGACTGCAGCCCAGATCCACCTCAGAACAGCGGGGGCCTGGTGGGAAGCAGGATGTGCTGGCCCAAAGCTGGGAAGAGCAGAGCATGCTGCAGGGGGCGGGCCCGTGGGACCAGAAAACATGCCCTTGGTAACTTCAAAGGGAGGAGTGAAAAGAGCCCGAGTAAATCTATAAAGCCAGGGAAGATGAAGCACAGCACTGGAACATGAGCTAGGACTCTTGAAGGCAGAAGAAACGACTCTTGCTGACTCAAGCAGAGTGGGGAATGTATTGGAGGCCATGAAGGAGCTTGTGAGGTCAACAGGGGTACTGGATTCTGAGCTGGAGAATCAGGTGGAACTGGGACAAGAGCGCTCCACCATCAAGCACCTCTGCAGGGAGCAAACAGCCTGCTGTCCCTCCTCCCCAGACCACTCAGCTCAGCTCAGGTCCACTCTGGGACAAGGGAGGGGACACTGTGGACACCTTTCCACTCCCACGCAGAGAGAAAAGCAACTTGATTTACTGTGAAGATGGTGCCCAGTGAGAGAGGTAGTGCCACAAAAGGACATTGAACCGGGGAAAGAAGAGGCAGTGGATTCCAGCCTGCGGAAAAAGCAATGCCTGGCACAGTGTATAACAGAGAGATGTCACACCAGGTGACAAGTGACCAGAACAGGTCAAGAGTCAGAGAAGTTAGCAAGCAAACATAACTTCCAATCCAGCAGGCCTGTCAGACAGAGTTAGGAGTAACTCCAAGGTCAGTTGCCAGGTGTGGAAACCCATCTGGGAGGCTAGGTGGGGTCAGAGGGTAAAGACAAGGCCGATTAATTCCAGCTCTCAGGAGTAGGCTGACGGGAGCACATGGAGGAGTGCAGAGGGCGTCGCCAGCAAGAGTCAAGGTCAGGAATGTCCAGACTGAGATAAATGAGGGAGTAAAAGCAGGCACCTGTGCACGGGGCTTGGGGTTACCCATCCTAATTCTGGTGGGATCTCTCTTGCTGGAAAAGAACTGCATTGAAAGGCCCGGCTGCCTCTTAGCTACAGAGTGGAGGAGGTGTCCAGTTAGTGTCAGCAATATCACTCGCAGTCAGGAAAGCTCATGTCCTTTCTTCTCTGGGAAAGCAAGCCTTCCAAATTCAGTTTGGCAGGGCACCAGTTTGCTGGGATAGAAGCCAAATCCAAGCGCTGGAGTCTGACTCCCCACCATGGCTCTGCCAAACTGGAGGCTGCTGGTGTGCCACCTCCTTCTTTCACACAGAGCGTCAGAGGAGCCAGATGGATAGACCCGAGTCCTGGGGACGTTATCGGGGCTGTGAACCTGGCTGTGCCAAAAACCAGGTCTGCCTTTGGATATTGCTTGTTGGTAATTCCTAGAGGAAAATTCTCTAAGCAATAGATTCTCTTTTTGTGTTTAAGCCAGTTTGAGGCAGTTTTCTGTCACTTACAACCACAAAGTGTTTCAGTAATAGGTAGATAATAATATTAATATTAATCACAACTAAGCACTATTTCCTTCAATCCTCATAACAACTCTAGGAGGCAAATTCTATTATCATACACAATGGTATCAAATTGAAGAAACTGAGGCCACTGTCCTAGTGCCACACAATATTAAACTGGAGGGCTGGGGCTAGGTAGTCTGAACACACACAGATCCCAAGTGAGAAAAGAGATTGGGGGAAACCCCAAATTCTGCATATATGCAGTAAATAATCCTGAATAAGCCCAGTGACAGCCAAAAAGAGAATACAGCTAGAAAAATCCGATGTGGGCCACGCAGGGTGACCACTGGCGGTCTCAAGACTTTCGGAAAGGCATACCCAGGAGATGAGACGTGGACATGGAGTCAAGGAAAATACAAGGGTGGGGGTCCCTGAACCTGTAAGAACCGCACTGGGAAACCAACAGCCCACACCAACCAGAGGCTGAAAATAGGCCTGTGATCTCCAAAGGGTTTTCAAAGCTATTCAAAGAGCAGGACAAGAAAAGGATTACACAGAGAAGATGCTAAACTGCAGACACTTGGAAAAAAGAGGAGGCAGAGCCAAGCAATCTCAACTTCACTTCTCTCTCTCTTCTAGTTAGAGAGATGTTCTTCCAAAAGGTAGACCCCTGGCCTGGTGCGAAGGCAGCAAGGTGGTGCTTGGATGCCCTACACAAGTTTAACAATAAAAACTCTCAGATGAGCTGGCAGCAGCACAATGACTCAATACAGGGAAGCCCTCACCTGGACAAAAGGTCCATTTTCAACATTTGTAAAAATGGTTGATTGCTTGATGGCAATTCCTGAGGGAATATTCTAAAACTATTGACCATCTGGATTGAAAACATTTCATAAAAAACAGGGTACAACATGGGTTCAGTACCCCAAAACAACCATAAATCTTTCAGGATGGGTGACTCTGGTAAGTTCTATATACCAAAAATAACCTCAGCAAGCAGCTGACAGTTTTTCAGGCTAGTCTTGTTTTTGAAATGGAGGAATATGGACCAGATAAAAATAAGATAAGAGGAATTCCTAGCGAATTGCAAAACGATGCCCAAATGAAATAATGAACTTTGAAGTCTTGTGAAGAGGGATTCCTAGATCTGTGCCATGGGTCATGTTCTTCCACTGGCCCAGCCTTAATGGTGTCCTTGAAGGTGAACTTGGAGATGTCCTTATAGATGCCTGATAGAGCAGGAATCAGAGCAGTGGAGGTCGTGGTCAGGACTGAGTGAGCTGCGTGTGTGACACATATAGCATCGTTACGCTGCTGCTCTGGTACTGGCCAGCCCTATGCTGCCTGGTGCCCTTCTTTGGAGGCACAAGACTTGGATCCCCAACTCATCTCCCCATTATAGTTTTGCAACATTCGTCAAATCACTCCACCATTCTAGGACTCCATTTCCTCATCTGCAGATTTCAAAAAAGATGATAAAGGCACTTGTGTCTAATGTGTGGGTAACCAGAAGCTGAGAAAGACAATGAATGCAATAAATAACCAAATCATGAATGATTCAAATTCATTTCAACAGGACCAAATATGAGGCCAAATCAACAACACCCATAAGAATTTAGTTGGAATACATGTCAAGAAAAACAGTGAGAATTAAAAATGCAGCCGGGTGCTGAAATCTCAGCATTTTGGGAGGCCAAGTTGGGTAGATCACCTGAGGTCAGGAGTTCAAGACGAGCCTGGCCAACGTGGTGAGACCCTGTCTCTACTAAAGCTACAAAAATTAGCCAGGCAGAATGGCTGAGTAGCTGGGGCAGGAGGCTGAGGCAGGAGAGTCGTTCGAACTCACGACTCGGAAGTTGCAGTAAGACAAGATTGTGCCACTGCACTCGAGCCTGAGCAACAGAGTAAGACTCTGTCTCAAAAATAAAATAAAATAAATAAAAATAAAAATGCAACTCCAAAGAACATGCCAGGCAGGGCCATGGCTATCTTGACTTGACAGCTGCCTATGTGAAAACAAGATTTGGGAATAACCAGGATGTCCACCAACAGCATGTGAAAGAGCTTAAAAACCAAAGTGACCTGGGAAGTAGCAGACAGCTCTGAAAGCTGAGAATTAGGGGTCAGTTTGAATATTTTCACACTCGGGAATATAAAAGAAAATTATGCTACAAGATGAAACAGCAGATGGTAAATACTACCTACTTGATAGATAAAGTTATGTGGAAGTGTTAGATGCAAATTTAGAGTGACTGGCGGTCTTAGGGAGAGATGTTTTCTCTAAAAGTTGCACCCTCACCCCAGAGTAAAAAAAAATCTGGAGATTTTAGTTACCATGGGTTTAATGTCAGCCAATAATTTCAGTACTAAAAGTCAGTGTGGCTTTATTTTGTCTCAGTGGAAGTATAATGTCTCTACTGGTGTGCTCTTCATAGGGCTCATGCTGGTACCAGGTGTGGCAGACCTGGTACCTGGATGATGATATAGGAGCCCATGCAGGTAACAGGTGTGTTAGAAAAGGAAATGAGTATAGCCATCCCACACAAGCTTGTTCCAGTACATCTGGACTGCCTTTTTTTGTTTTCTGGAGACAGGGTCTTGCTCTGTCACTGAGACTGGAGTGCAGTGGTGTAATCGTGGCTCACTGCAACCTCAGCTTCCTAGGCTCCAACAATCCTCCCACCTTATCCTCCTGAGTAGCTGAGGCTACAGGAATGTGCCACCACTACTGGCTAATTTTTGTATTTTTGATAGAGACAGGGTTTTGCCATTTTGCCCTGGCTGGTCTTCAAGCCTTCCAAAGTGCTGGGATTATAGGTGTGAGCCAACAAGCCCAGCTTGTACTGATTTTTGCAGAAGGAAACCAATGATAACATCCAGATAGATTAATTAATTAAATGCCAAAAATGAACTCAATGCATAGCTAAAAGAAAATAGTAGAACTGAACATTTATCTATACTTGATAGGAATGAAAACTTTCTAAGCATAAAAATAATGGAATAGTCACAGAGTAAAATATTGGTAGGGATACAAAATTTAAAACTTCTTAGTCCTAAATGATCATAACAAAATTAAAAGGCAAAAAGAAAACTGGGGAATATGCATGACAAATAGTGGACTTATAACAAACGTGCATATATACATAAGACAAACCTAATAGAAAAATGGGCAAAAACCATCAACAAGCATTTTGTAGGAAAACAAATGCAAATGGTCTATAAGAAATGGAAAGATGCTCAAACTCAAAAGCAACCAAAGAAATGCAAGTAAAAACAATAAGCTAATATTTCTTTCACGATGACTAAGAAGATCGTGTATATGAGGGTCCAAAGATATGAGCAACAGTGCGGGGGAGCGCAGATTACATGCACTGGGCTTGACTGTCCATGCTGGTCTCACTAGCTTATTGTCTTTTGGTAGTTTATCCTTCTACACCATCACTTTCCTTGTCCCTTAACTGAAGATTACCATAACTCTGGTCTCACAGTGCTGTTAGGAGGATTGGCTGAGATTACCCTAACCCAGTGGTGACACAAAAAAAATTGTTTTTTCTAGTTAGAAGCAAGCAAACAGGAAATACTTAAATAAATCATGGTATACTTGTAAGATGAAATATTACACAGACATCAGGCATATTGTTAAATGCATATTGTTAAAGGCCATTTCCTAATAAAAGGTGTGATAGATGTTGTGGTCCCAATATTGTAATGAAAACATCCAAGCAATCTTTTTATATACAGAAGAACATGGCTAAAATGTTGGTTTCTTTCCAGTGATTCTGTCTGGTGATGGGATTATAGGTAATTTTTTTTTAAAGAAAAAACAAAATATGTAAGGAGAAAAGAATTTGAAAAATGGTATGGATACCAAACAAAGGCAAAACAAAGTCAAAAACCCTCCCATGGGTTCCGAGAATGGCATTTGGCTTGTTTTGATTGCTAGAAACTTTGTAATATCTGACACAGTTGGAGGAAATAGTTAAGTGTGGCCTAGAAGAGATAAGCTTTTTCGGGGTGTCTGTATATATTTGATGGATGTCACATCAGAACATGTCCCAATTTTGTCTTCTGAAACAGCACATCACCTGCCTCTCAATGGCAAGACCCTCTAGGGAAAACAGACTTTTGAGTCCTATGGAACTTGGAGCCACAATCAGGTCTTCAGGGAGACTCACAGCTACTGGTGGGCATCTCCATCCACTAGGAGAACAGGCAAGAACCTATCTATTCTAGAGGGTCCCATGGAGAGGTCTCCTGCTCTGCATAGAGTTTGGATTTGATAACTTCCTTCCCTCTCTCCTTCCCTCCCTCTCTCCCCTTTTTCCCCTCCTTTCCTCCTTCCGTCCTTCCCTCCCTCCCTCCCTCCCTCCCTCCCTCCCTCC